AATATCAGTAAAGTTGTATCTGAATGGAAATCGGGAAACTGTCGTGTCAAATGACCATGGTATATTTTTTCCGTTTTGTTCCATTGGTCCGAATTGAGTTAACTCATGACATTTATTTGGGTTTGTCATTATAGGGAACTAATAACATTTTTGTAAAATAGGCCATTGTTATTATTTATCTCGCATTTTTGTTTATTTAAAATCCATATTTTATATAAGTGGTTTGACCTTGTTTTTGAAACTTGGTCGTATTCGCAGGAAGTCCTAGAGGAACGCACCTTGTCCGGAATTTATTGTATACATGATAATTTCCAGAGTCAGACCGTAGACTTGGTACATTCCCAGGCGTTTTGCCGTCATCGTCAGTGAGCCTTGTCATTCTTGTCTCTTTGACGAGTTGTAGTGTGGTGCTAAAAATAGCAATGCTCACGGACGATGCCGACCACGATACCGGCGAAACGTCTGAGAATGAACCAAGTCCACGGTTCGACTCTGAAATTATCAAGCATATTATAAATTCCTGACAAGATGCATTTCTCTATGTATTCCTGCCAATATAACCAAGTTACGAAAACATGATCAAACAACTTCTATAGAACGAAAGGAGACCGCGACCATACGAAAGGCAACACCATGTTGTTCTTCACACCCTCAATATGTTATATTATTATATGATTCCTTACGTCATAGCATCGTAAGTGTCGATCGAGGAGCATGTGCCTGAGTATGCTAATGTTTTCCATGTCAGGCCCGCTTCGGAGCTAATGCTTGAGTAAGTTTAGCAAAATATGCCATTTTAGCTAAATACAAAACTATTTTCGTGTAATATTTCTTTCCTTAGTAAAGACTGGATAGTCAAATTTTAAGTTTTTTTATCAGAAGGAATAGTACGGGAGTAAGATTAACCAAAGATATGAATAAAAACGGGGTTTCGAGGAATTCATTAGTGATATATTTTAACATCACTTTCCTTTTCTAGGGAAAAGTTGGTTGGAAGAAATTCGTTATGTGGTCTCACCTAAAACCGAAGGAGAATTGCCGCTTAGGGAAGACTATTGTATTGTGCGAAGCAGTCTTTGGCACTCCGCTCTGCGACTCTGCACTATGACAGACACCATCAGGAATGCAAACTTTACGAAATTGAGCAAAATTAAGTTAAACCATTTTTTCTCTTGGTTTAGTATACTTTTGTTGCTCTGATGATGTCTGCCACAGTACCAGGAAAGCTTAGCACAGGTTCATCGGAGTTGCAGGACGGTGAGCCGAAGACTTCTTCACATAATACAACGGCTTCCCTGCGCGGCAATCCTCCTTCGGCTTTGGATTATTCCACATCAAGAATTCTTTCCAACCAACTTTTTCTGTTAAATGGAAAGACATGTCGCAGTAAATGTAAATTTTTGTCTCTCAAAGCCCTATGATTCTCAAACAATTTATACTTCCTCAACAAACCATTAATTTTATTTTCTTGAAATTCTCCCAGTATTAATAATGCAGACGGATTTCTAGCCTTTTCTTCACCGTGTTTTCAAAAATATCAGATTATAGCAATACAATTGGCAGTGAACTTAATAACTCTGCTACTTCCCTCTTTAAAATATCAAGCTATCAATTATTTTGGATGCAAGGAGTAACTGGGTTTCAACGAAGTTCCTGACATACCATTGTTAGGGATACCTTTGTTTTGTATGAAAGTGGATGAATAAAAGAATCGTATGTTGTTCTCCCCATAAAACCACGGCTGATTCTCGTTATACTTCAGCCGTTTGGCGTTAATACAAGATTCTAGTTGACGTAGTCAACGAAGCATCGCCCTTATCTCGGGTAAAAACGGGCTGAACTTTCGTCAATCATATGATGGAATCATCAGAGTTTGAACTCATTCTTGTGAAACTTTAACGTTAACACTTCTTGAACTATTGATAATCTAATCTCAGCCAGTTTTCACCCGAAACGAGAGAGTATGTCTCGTGGACTAAGTCAACCTGAAAGTTTTATTAGAGCCAAACGAGTACAGTACAACGGGAATCAGCCCTCGTATTCTGGTGAGATCAATCTACAAATCTCTTCTTCATGCACTTTCATACACAATGAAGGTCTCTTCAGCAATCAGTCAGTCACACCAAATATAATCACAAATGCCCAGCCAAGTCAAATAGAGTCATCAAATTATAAGGAAAAAGACCATGGATATGAAAGACTTTCGACTAGGATAAAGTAACTAACTCTCGGTTGAATATTTCATAAGGATATTATAGGGATAATAGGTCGGCATAACTAATAATTATTATAGACCGCACATATTTATGATTGCGACAAGCTTGAAATAGTGTCTATTTTAGACATTTATATCGCTATGACTGTATTATGCCCTATGTGAGTTGAGTTTATTAGGGCAATGCAACTTTCTACTTGGCAAACGTAAAGAATGTTTTTCGGATGAGCCTTTACATTTTTTTCTGCTTTTCTTAATTCAATCATCATTGGAATTTATTTTTAAAATAATCATGCCCAATGGCTTTACAAAAGTGCGAACAGTTTGGCTTCGCAATCAAATAAAGTTTGAAAAATTATTTAAAAATTATTAATTCAAGTTGATATTTTGAGTGATAAGTTATACGAAATGGCCTTAGGCTGGTCCCACCAGATAATTAGATAAGATTTCCTTTGAGTTATGAATTCCTGATTGGGCGTTTGCAAAATATTTCTAAAGCTATTTAACTACGCACCTCGTAAAAATTATGTGATAGATTTAACGGCATTTTCTTTTCCTTTAGTACATTAAACGCCTTCATCAGCTAAGCACAGAGGTGATGTTACTGCCAAATGTAGAATACTTTGACTTAATACGACTAGACTGTGAAGACGTCAAAGTAGGATTATCGAGAGAGTGCAAGCGCCTGGCAAATATTCTTCTTGATCGCGTCGCTTCAGATCATCGAACCTGCAGCAAAGAGTAGGTTCTATGCTTTAATACTGCTTGGTGTTTTCCCTCCTCATGGGTTAAATTATGTTTTGACTTCATAGAATTTGTGCTGCTTTTGAAGAAATTCGTGAGCGCTGCCGCAAAGAGCCTACATCAAGTGAAGAGTTGATTGAAATGATTCGTTACATGGAGGAAGCAAGATGTCAAGGGATGGTGCGTATGGAGGCCAAAATACACGTGCGTCTTTATTATTGGAAATTTTATCTTTCGTTGGATCTTCTATTATTTGTTGTTTTATTGATTTCAGCTCTGCCGTGAATACCTTAAGTATCTTTTAGATGTTTATCAATTCAGTCCCGAAGATATTCGACTGAATAGTGAAGTGCTCACCTGGCGTAAACGCATTTATCCTGAATTTGATGCGAATGATAAAGTAAGTATAAAGCTCATTTACGCTTAATGTAATGAACTTTTAAAATGATAATCTTGCAGTACTTAGTGTCTTTAGGCTCTATATAAATCAATAAGTGATTTTTATTGGGTTTTGAGTGGCATGATAAATCAAAATCCCAAATAATCACTGTCTAATGTGTAATATTTCGAGGTTTCCTATCATTTTGCTATATCAGGTCTTTATAACCTAATTAAGTAAATACATTGAAAGGATAGATAGTGTCTTTTAACTCAATTGGACTAGTATTGATTTACTTAATTGTGAGTCAGAACTCGTTTCAAGCACAAATGTTTTACTTTTTTGACTAATTACTATATATATTCTCTTCCATAAAATACTTGATATATCTAGCTAACTTTAGCTCGGAAGTCCCATATAGCTTTTAGGCTTGGGCACTACGCCTAAATAAATGGCTCATCTAGCAACATCAAGTCATCAAAGCTCAACCCAGGCTTAGCGGATTGATTCACAAAAATAAGTGTTGGTCTGAAGTTTATTTCGGGTGAAATCGTATAATGAAGATATCAGTAGGTAAATACCACCAACCGATGACCATAAGTTAACTTTGCTTTACAGTTATTTGGTTCTATCGGGACGTTCTAGTTGACTCAGGTCTAGAGTCACCCTCTGGCTACGGCCTCTAGATATATCAGGAGATTCCTTGAAAACCAGTTACTCAACGTGCATCACAAACACTAACAAAGTCGAAACTCAGCAATAAAAAGCATCTTCTCTCCGCAACTGAAACCCCACATATTAAATTTATTCTTTTATTATAAGCTTTCTCCTAGCCTGCACTGGTTTGGGCAAAGTGCACGCTTTTATATATCTTCGATTATTCTGTTAACTCGCTTTATACATTTAAGTATTTATTTTCTTTACATTACACCAGCCTCCTTGTAGTTATTATTTATGTTTTACATCAATTATTCTTACTTTTCTCTAAAAATCATGATAGGCATGAATATTTAAGGGTAAATTTTCCAATAATACTATGTATTCATTTGAAAAAATCCCCTAAATCCTGCTTGAAAAAATGTTGTTTTAAGAAGATGTGGAAATATGCCTGAAGGTTGTATTACTTTGGTCACATTGGCCACATTGGCTGGTTATATAGAACAAATATGTAAACTAGCCCAAATTTATGTCCCAGAATTTTTGCGTTCT